AAGACCCAATTTTCAGACATTCCTGACTGATAATGTGTGGTGAAGTGGTCTTGCTCTATTTTAATAGATTATAAATTCTGTTAGCCAAATACTTTATGTGCTACTTGGTATTAATATTAAACTTTGCTGTAAAATACTTAATCCCTATTGATAGACACGCAGAGAGATGAGTAAAACAAAATTAAAGTTTTTTTTCTAAATATTTTTTCATATAATGCCCATTTTTTAGTAGTTTTATTATAAAACAATACTCTTTCATACACCTTGACTCACAGAGCTGCTATTTTAGAATGTAGCAATTTTGAATTCTTTAGTTTGAACAGCAAGAGGTCTAAACTTAGTGTGCTTTTGAATATGATTTTATTATTTGGTAATATTTTTAGTAATGCAGAAACTGCTGGGTTTTGTCATTATGAGCTGAAAGAATAACTGTGTTGCTAATCTGTCTCAAGCCTATGGTCCTAATAAATGCAGTTCATGCAACAGTCAAATAAAAAGAACAGTCCTTCCAATGAATTAAAGAGAACTGTCCAAATGACCAAAGGTGTATAGCATGAAAAATCTCATTCAGTAGAGACAGAGACTGATGCATCAATACGTTTGCTAAGTAGATCTGGTAATTTAGGTTTCAAATTTTGATCCCCATAGTGGTCCATCAGTCAGCTTGTATAAATAAAGAATGCAGGATATGTCACTATGCAAAGCAAACACAGAGCTGAGAAGATAAGGAACCATTGATATCTTACATGAGCAAAGGAGTTGCTACTCTCTATCTCAGACACAGCAGCCTTGTACATAGCCATTCTTTCTTTCAAGGAGACAGTCTCCTGGAAATCCAGCGGTGTGTTATCAGCCCTGGGAGTGCTCCCTTTAGGTAGTCCTTTTATAAGTTTGCGAGAACCCACTGTAAGTACAAACAGACATCATATTTTCTAAGAAGGAAACAGGTACCTCTTTTCCAAATCTTGAAAGAAAAGCGGTAGTAGAAAGGAGCAGTATTATCAACTTTTTAGCAACTGTATCTTATTTTCTATTTAGAACTTACTGAGTACAGAAAAATTTAATTCAATGAAGTTTTTGAAACAGGGAAATTCCTTGGGGAAATAACAAAAAGCTTTTTTTTTTAAAAAAACATACAGTTTTAACAGCAAGCATAGTATGTTTTTCTTGATAGTGTTACATTTGCATTATTTTATACTGTAAAAATTCATTGTAAGTACTACAAATAACCAATTATAATTAGATATATTATGTTCTAATTAGCTTTATACATTATAGTATTCATTTGCTTAACAGAGAGTCCGTTCCGAGTTGATTGTAGATTTCAGTTGTTTACCGATATTGCATTAGAGTATGTTTTAGTCGGTTTAGAACTACTAAAACCTTATTGAAAATTATCTAAATTACTAACTACATTTTAACCTTATTTCAAGGTGTGAAGGTTATAGACTTATCTATAAGCATCTGCAATTCAGCCACAGTGAATGTTGAAACAACAGTTCAGAGTACTCCTGCAAGAGCAGCACTGAGTTACTAGCACTAGGAAGTTTTTTGTTGCTGCTTTCTACATTCATATGACTGTATTAGAAGAATTCCATATACCCAGAAAAGTGCCTTAAATTTAGCATAAAGATATTTTTCTTTCTTGTTTCAGACAAAGGGGGAAAAAAGTATGTTGTGAGCATCTCTCGTCTGTCATCAGAGGCAGAAGAGGTTTCATATAATCCCACAGGCTGGAAGTTCCTCTTTTCCTGCCAAGGTTTTTCTACAGTGCATGGAAAATTGGGTTGAATGACACTGGACTTCTGTAACCAGGACATTCCTTTCCTTTTTGGGAGGGGAGAGAATTTTAGGACTTCAAGAAGATATATTTTTATTAAAGCCACCAGAATCTAATTTTTTAATCATTGTGCTTGTGCTGCAGATATCAGAGCACCCTGATCTTCCCTAAATCCATCTATCCCTAAGTCCATCTATATTTCTCCTTGTCCTTGCATAACAGGACAGAATAAATCTGTTGCAACCTGCATTGCTTTTTTTCCAACAATTGTATTTTCTGAAATTACAGAAACAGGCTATATCTGAACCAAATTATCTCAAAGAAACCCACCAAAACCCACCCTGCTCCCGCACCCAAGCATGATTTATCTTGGAATTTCTCAAAGTTGAGGAAATTACTGACTGAAAAAAGGAGAGAAGAGGGCAGGAAGAAACAGTATAGCTATGTCCTCCTGTTCTATGTATTTAATTCAAGCCAGTAGCTACGCAAACTAAAACCTTAAAATCCATTTCTAAACAGGAAAGGAAAGTCAAAGAGGAAGCTTCAGATGTGTCCTTTCTGCTAGCCATTGGCAGTTTACTTGTATTTTTACATATTCTGGCACTGCTGACACCCTGTCTTCCTCATTCTGAGTGTTCTTTGTCACTCTGTTGCAGCACAGGGCTGGGTTTTTTTTTGAAATAACATACTTATGTTTACTGTGTTCAATTCATTTATGCTTTTTTCATCTCGCTGATGATGTGCAGACTCATTAAATTAAGCAAATCACCTCACTTGCCATAATTTTGCTAAGAAATGAGTAACTTACTCTTTGTACAGTGTTGGCTAGCTCATAATGTGCATATAAAGCACCAAGGACATACTGGAGTGCACTTACTTACCTTATCTACCATTCAGTGCAAACCAACACCGTTTACAGAACCGGTCTTCTCTTTGGAAAGAAAAAAGTTGTAAAAATCCTCTCCTAGGAATTTTGTTTTTGTCAATTTTTAAGACAAATTTCCCAGTCTCCTGAAATACACCACCCAGTGGGGACCAGCTCCACTGAATCCCTTCCTGGAGCAAGTAGAGGGGCACAACTCATTTTGGTTTATCCCCACATGCATAGGGTGGAACTTGGTGACTGTTTTTAGGGCCTGAGGTCTAGATAACATTTGCCAGAGCCAACTCCACGTTCTGGAAGCCTAACTGTAATACATATTGTTATACATATATGCGTTACACAAACATGTGCTCGGTCAATCACATTTCTTCTTACCTAAGTTGGTTCACTTTTGATTATTGTGTTGTTTTACTAAGGCAGTGGTTGAAAACACAAAAGATACAGGTAAAAAAATTCCCCATTTTCTTTTGAAGTACCCACTCTTTCTCTTTAATATTATGAAATGCAGCAACAAAAGAGGCTTTCAAAAAAGCTATCTGTTCACCTGGCACAGAACAGAGTGCCAGGGAAGGGGTATCCCGACAAACAGGGAAGAATTCCAAGGCACACCTGGCCTTTCTGCCCATTCACTGTAAAAGTGTTTAGCTGGCATAAGTGTTCAGGGTCCGGATATAGCAAGCAAATATAACAAGCAACTCTAATCTTCAGTAAAAATCAGACATAGATGCAGACATGTCTGGAAGAGTGGTCTCAGTGTAAACATACTGAGTTTCTTAGTATTGTTACCTGATCCTATTCATAACTTAGATGAGGAAAATTTTCTTTTTTTTATTATGCTTATCCCATGCAGTACCTTTGCATATTGCATATAATCATGATAGACAAAAGAATTGCTACAGTTCAAGAAAGAATAATAGCAGCATTAAGAATCAGAGAAAGTCAGCTGGAAGGAAAAAAAAAAAAGGTTTTCGGAGAAAGTAGAAATCAGGAGAGAGAGAAAATTGCTGTTCTTCAAGTAAGGAGTCTGTACATTGAACCAAATCTAACCAAAACGATGGGAAGATTGAAAGTATGCTTTGGCAACACAGAGGGATAGTCCACCATAGCCAACCAGTGTCAGTTCATTTTTAAAGGCAGATTGAATTATGTAACAGACTACTACCAACATGATATTTATAAGCCATTGCTTTAATTTTCAAGAGTGTTTAGGAGTTTAAAAACTTTGTTGGTATTGTTCTGATTCAACAAGGGATTCTTGGATTTTACCTAATCATAAACATGTGAATAATTTCATTAAGCTCAATGGGAATACTCATGTGCTTAAAGTTAGACGTGATTAAATTCCTTGCTGATTTGGGGCCAATGAATTTAATGGACTGTTTTAAAAAACATTTTAATAGATGCATATTATTAGCCACCTGGGGAATGAAGGTAATAGAAACTATTCTCTTGTTAGCTTTAAAACAGGAAACACCCTCTCTTTAGAAGGTAGTTGTTTTACAACGTGATGTAAAACTCTTTGGTGGTATGAGAAATTATATGATCTAAGCTTTTGCTCATTCATTTTGCTCATTTTGCTATAAGCTTTTGCTCATTCAAGAGAACTTAAAGGTGTAATATCTTCTGATTCTTTCAGGAATAAATGTGGGCTTGTGATGAAATAGTTTGTTAGAGGAGCCTTATGTTTACCAAGGTGAGGTATGCCAACAAAAAGCTGTTTGCCTTTGTCATATAAGACTTACACAATAGTATCTATTTCAGAGAATTTAATTCTTTTATTAATGATAAGTTACATCAATTCTATAAAGTAAAAAGAGCTTGACAAATTTTCCATGAATAATAGGACTGGAGAATTCTGGCTTTCTGCCATTTTTCCCAATGATATGACTACATTAGCTATCCCTTATGGGCTTCTCCAGGTTTTCACAATAGGTTGAAGAGCAGTGTGAGCATTGCCTTTATTGTTTTTCAGTGGAGAATATAGAACTTGTTGGTACTCAATCACAGAGCTTGCTGTAAATGTTGCTTGATACCTCTTCTAGGAAAATAAGATTTTGGCATAATTGAAACATTTAGCAAAAAGTTCCATAAGCACTTCAGTGGTTTGAGGGTATTGATCTTGCTGAAAAATTGAAGCAAGTTGACATATATTGTCATTGGTTATAGAAAACTCAAAACTCATAGTGATGGGAGAAATAATCTATGGAGCAGCATTATCTTATATTTTTCAGGACCTGAATATTTATTCAAGTGCAGAGTTGCAGATTTCAGTGCCTAACTTCAGCTATTAGAAGTTTAAGAGTTTTCACCAGTGCTTTCAAACACTAAATGAGTCTATAGGGAATTTACTTCTCATAAGACTGTCTGAATGCAAAATGGGGTATTATGGCTCTCACAGGAGCATAGAAAAACATTATCCCCTATGGGTCTGTCACATTTTTAGGAAAAACTTCATTTGTAAGAGGCATTAATTGCCGACTGTGCATTTTTACATAGTTCATATTCTTTGTTATTCCTGGTGGACCATAAAATGCTTCTGAAACATACTGTGCCCAATTTAGACTCAGAGGCAAAGTGGGTATGGAATGGAGGATTCTGTTCTCCTGTTAGAGAGGAAAAAGAAAGGCTTTGAACTAGGAGAGTCTAAAAGGAGAAGGGAAAAAAAAAAGGTCCTTACAACCGTATTATAAAAAAGATGATACCTGAAAAACTTGAGAAGATGTAGAGAAGAGCCACAAAAAAATACTCCCACATGGAGAACTGCAGTTGTATCTAGTTGATGGAAGAGAAGGTTGTGGAGCGATATAGTTGTAATGTATAATCCTCCTTCCAAGAAGAAATGAGCAGGTGTTAAAGATCTCTTTAATTTGGTAGGAAAAAAAGGAAAAAAAAGATAACCAATGGCTGAAAGTTAAACCTGATAAAAGATCAGGTATTTAGTTTGAACAATGAGCATAATAAACCTAGCAGCATTTGCTAGAAAAGGTCTTGCACACTGAAATTTCCTTTTTCCTGTGATCTGCTAGAGTCTGGAATTGCTGAACATACAGGCTAAACGTCTTCTGATGAAAAAAAGAGCAGAGTCAGTAATTGGCTGATACTGTGTAGACAGCTTGTTAATTTTATTGGCAGAGTGGACAAGTCTTTTTATGCTATTTATTTGGGTCATCTGCTGTTTTACATAAAGTCAAGTCCTAGACACTCAGAAATCAGTAAGTATTTTCTGTCAGAAAATTGTATCATCATCCATGTTTTTCCTCTGTTAAAACAAACCAAAACACAGATACATACACTCTTTGATACCATCAAGCAGTGGTCTCCAAAGTGGGATGTGCGCGCCCCAGGGGCTCTGCAAGACAGTCCATTGGGGTGCAGGAAGAAAATATTTTTTTGTAAATTAACACTTTGTAAAGTGTTTTTTTTTTTTTCATTTCATCCATCATCCTTCTTTAATATCTATTTCGGTGTAGTAGAGTAGTATATGTATACAATTTGTAGATAAATACATATACAAACATTGGGAGTGCATGCAGAAAAATGTTTTACTGATAGGGGTGCGCCATCAAAAAGATTTGGAGTCCACTGCCTTAGAGTAAAGCGAGACATCAGATCAACGTGGTAATGCTAACCTTCAGAGCTGTTGCTGTGACCATTTTCTGATGACATCTTTTCAAAGATTGCTCTCCCTCTTTTCACACTAGACTCCTTCAGAGAAATGACAGAATGGCTCCCAGGCTGACTCTTCGATGTTGATGAAAGTGAACTTCTCTCACTTTCTGTTTCCTGTCAGAAGACATCAAGAGGATGTGTGTTAAAAGCTATTGGTAGGAAACAGATGTGGGCTTTGAGGGGAAGAGAGCATATGAAGAGGCAGCAGGTTAGAAGGGGGTGCTATTTTGGGGCAAATGTTCTCCAGAATGCCATAGGGTAAATTTCTGTAGCACTGCAGGTTGCCGATTCATGTGTGCTGCCCAGTTTATAGTTCAACAGCCAGCGATGCTTGGCAGTTTTCTTTTGCCCTTTCTCGCACGTGGTTTCTTCCACTAGAGAAGAGTGGTGGTGGTGGTAAGGATCACAATAAAAGACACCAATTGCTCATTTAAACACTGTTTGTACATAGAAAAGTTGATGGAGGGAATTTTATTAATTTCATTTATTGGTATGTAAGAATATGTAAAAACAAGAAATGATGGCTCGGAGACCAGATGTACATGGGCGTTCGTATTTCAGAAATTTGATTTTTAATTCTGCTGTGACCTATCAACTGAATTTTGCTTATCACAATAGTGGGTCAATGTTCCATACAGATAGTTTACACAATATCATTTGTATCTCATCACCACACTGTGGCCTCAGACCTTCGAGGCAAAATGAGTAAACTATTGCTAAGCAAGACTTTAATGTGTCGAAGCTGGTGTTATGGGGTGCTTCTCCTTCCTTCCATGCAATACGCCACTCAGTATGGAGTTGGACACAACGGCTGTAAAATCTCAACTACAGCTCTTATATTAAGTAAATAACTGAAACAGCTGGAGTAGCAAAAGTATGCTTTTTTTTTGCAAGGGAATAACATGAAAGGTCCACTGCGTGTCCACTTCCTTTGTCCCTGTAAGAGGTGGCAATATCCAAAAAGAGAGTGGGTAGGTGGTTGGTCTGGTGACTGCATAAATCTCTCAAGCAACGTTTTGCAGAACTTATTTGCCAGAGCCCTTAATTGCTTAAATGGCATACGTTTTCAAAATGTGCTACCTTCATTAGACTACTTCCTTTTTATTGGTTGCAGACAGCTTTATTATTGTATACCAATTCAATGCTACCCTTGTATATGATCTCACTGAACTAACTCCTAACTGCTTTTAGATCTAGATATTATGCATGGTGTGTAAGAAGCAGCAAAATTTGACCCCGAATTGATTATCCTAGATTGGAGAGTATTTTCCAGTAACTATTTAAAAAAAGAAAAAGAAAAAAAAAGAAAATACTTCTTAATGCAACGCAACTTGATGAATCCTCAAATATAATTCTTACAAAGAAAATAATATAAAATAAATTGTAAAAGCCATTTTCACAGTAACGTATAATCAGTTATACATTCACCTTCAATTTTATGAGACTAACAGTGAACAAGCATTGGAAATATACTTTTAAAATGAGCGCATCATTAGCAATCAAGGACAATTGTGCTTCACCCATCTTTAATAAATTTACGCATTTCTCATAGCTGCTGATAGCTTTTATCTTAAATATGTGTTGTACTTTATTTCTTGACCTGTAGTCATTCTTTGCAAGAATGTTCCTTCCAGTACATGTACAATAGGTTATGTCTTGTGGAAACTCATAATTTTATAACAATCTGTCTACTTGTGTGAGATACGGTAGCTTTTGCTTGAGATTAGCTGGAAGATTTTTGCATGATGTGTCAGCATTGAAACAAATGACCAATTAGACCATAGAGGCTAAAGATGTTTTATTACCACGAGTATTGTAACGCCCTTTTTTTCAGAAAAAATGCCTATGGTATCACCAATCATCAGTTATCTTGATGCACCAGTCTCTCCCCACTCCCGCCCCTCCCCCAAAAGAGCACTGCTGCTACTGCTTATATGGAATTGAACTTGAAAGGTAATCTTGAATACAGTGGATAATTTTAGGAGATAGGCCGGGAGGTACAATCAACACACTGGAAAACCTAAACGTGGCTAGATTTAAAGGTGGTATAGGGGATCTTAACCAATACTGTGGGGTTTGTTACCTTTTATTTAGCAGGTTTACAGGAGATAATTGGTTTAAAACTAATTTGAATTATTCTGTAATTGCTTTCCTAGTTAGCAGCATATTTTCCTTGTCTATTATGGAAAGTATTTTTGGAGGGTAATAGCAAGAGAAAGATTTGTGAAGAAAGTAGCTGTCTTTCTGCTCCATGACACTTCCTTGTACCCTTCCTCACTAGTCTGTCGGATACTTTCAGGTTGTACATCCTACTCAGAAATGACACGGTGGCACAGTGCCAGTAAGATAAGCTCTGTGACCAGGCTGGGTTACAATGCAGGCATGACAGTGCAGCAGCACAGGTAGGATGGAGAGCTTAGCCAGAACGTAGGTGTGCTGAGAGGAATGAGATACTTGCGTGCCAAGGGTATCAGGAGACAGCAGGTGGCTGAAATGAATAGGCTGTTTTGTGTGGGAAGGGTTATGGCTTCAAACTGCTATTCATTTTGTTCCCCTTTTCAGAGTTGGTTATCAGTTACAATTACAGCCCAGTATTATGATATTTTGGTTTAAAACAGCTGAAGAGCTGACCATGATGTCTGAAATCTGGTATGGACGATCTGTGATGCAGAAATAGCTACACAGAAGAGAAATGAAGGATGGGGAGGAAGAGGAGAAATAAAAACAATGCAGCTGTGCATGTTGTTAGATCAGCCTGAACATGTCTGCCTCCTACTTCTCCACTTCTGCAACCAGCCAGCACCTGGCATAAATGAGAACAGCCTCAGGATCATGTTGCCACAGCATTGTGTGTGCTTTCAGTGGTCAACACCAGAGAATCACTTTAATGACGTTTTAACTTCTACAGTATTAGGACAAAATAGAAAACTCAAAATATACTGTGTTTTCAACTACCATTGGCATCTTTGAGAACAAAATCATCTAGTGTTTTTTTTTTTTATTCCTACTACATTTTTCTGTAGTAACTAGTAACAGCTAAAAAACTTCAGAATTTACTGTTTCTTATTCTTATTCTTGCAAGCTAGGGACCAATATAAATTTGATTTCCATTTTTCTTAACTCTATTAATTTTATTAACTTTTAGCATATTTCTATAATGTTTTTTCAAATTTTCATATCTGCAGTAGCAATTCCATTACTTATAAAATTTATATACGTTAGTATTTCAGACATTTATTTTAATAGGAATTTTTAAAAAAAATTAATGTATCTTTTTTGACCATTTTTAATATAAATTACAGGAATATTGGCCCTACTTAAGAGATTTTCATGTAAATTCTTTTATGGACAGATTTCTGAGATGTTGGCCACTATGGCAGACAGTATTTTCATTCAACTTATTTTCCTGTGTTCAGAAAAGCATATGTTTCAAATAAAACCAGAAATCTGGGATAATACTTACAAACTGTTTAGACGTAAAATATTACCATTTGTCTTTAGTGTTCGATTTTTCCACCTGCAAACATGTCTAAATCTCAGGTTTTGTTTTGTAGTAAGCATTATTCCCATTTTTCAAGACTGCAGTGAGTTTTTTATTTGGTATTTTTGTGATTTGGAGAGTTCAGTAAACAGTGTCAATTACAAAGTCTAGGAATACTCTTTTCAGTTTTATGCCACATTTGTCATCCTAGTCCTGTGAAGCATTTTGTTACAGGCGACTGAATGCAATTTACTGTAGCTTCATATTAAGTAGTTTGAGACTGGTGTTTATTGTTCCAAATCTCTTTGTTAATTTGTCTTTTGATTTCTATGTACTGCTGCCTGTAATAATGTACCCAGAAAAGAATAACTGTATTTTCCTCTATAATTACACAGACATTTTGGGGGACTGCTAATACATTTGTCCACAAAATATACCTACACGGTAGTGGATCTAATTTTAAATACATTAATTCTCTTTTAGTTTTTTCTAATTAAGTTCCCCTTATTTTCACAGTTAGTTTTAGCTTTTACCACAGTGTTCCACAGTAATCCATATTCTTTAAATCCCTGATATGGTGAATCACTATATAGGTGAATGGTCCATTTAATGGTCTCTGTGAGGATGATGCTGTTCTGATATACAGTGATGATGGTCTGCAGCAGAGCAACTGCATGCTTAGCACTGTGCAGAACTTTTTGCTCTAAACAAACCAATTCTATGACCATGTGCATTCTCTTGTTCCTCCCTTTCAGTGTCACAGTGCCCCCCACATGACAGTCTCCAGCTGCCCTAGCCCCATTGTGCAAACAGCATCCCTGTCTTAGTGGGGCTTCTGAAGCATGACTTTCTTGCACTATTGCTCCAGCTGAAGTATTAGAGCTCAGATTTATTCTCAGAAAATTATATTTCCTACTGTGAAAAAGTTATTGGAAGGTGTTACGATTACCTAAAATTCCTTTTAATCGGGATAAATTTAATTTGCATACTGTTCTATTGGGGTATCTACCCAGATAACCTAATATCAGTGAATGGCAAAGACATCTGCTTAATAAGGATAGAATTAACATAAATGCCACTTATCGAAAAAGCACCGAGGTAGTGCCAAGAGGTGCTTAATTAGAGGCTAATATATGCAACTCTTGCAAAAGTTGCCAAATGAAAACTAAAAGAAGAAGAATTTTTTTTTTTCTTTCTGACTAATGCAGGGATCAATTCATGTCAAGCTTTTGTAACTGTATGTGTGTTCTCGGTGAGAGCACGTATTCAATTGGGACATAGACTGTCGTGTGGAGCACCCTGTTTAACAGCATTTATTCCACTTTTTGCTGGACATAATTTGTTGAAATCTGTCTACATTTAACTTTCTATTGTGTAATTACTTCAGTTTTACGTACTGGCTCTGATATTTTATTCTATTTTTGAATGGGCTTCTCAGAAAAAGGTGACACAAGAAGCTATTTTTACGTTCTGATCTCATACCCTAGACATGATGAAAAGAAAAAAGCACTCGAGTGCCAAATTTCAAGGAATATGCAGGCATTACATTTAGAAATGCCAATGATAAAGATTCCAATTTCAGTGGCCTACTGAGTGACTATGCTTCATTTAGATAGTGGATTTTCCACTTGCT